TCCATCTCAAGTTGCCGTTTGAACGTTTGTTCGGGAGGTGAAAGCCCCAAACCTCAAGCCCTCAGTCCTACGCCCCTACGCCCTACAGAATGCGACCCTACAGAATGCGAGGCGGCGGCAAGAGAATGACGCACTCCCCCCATGAAAGTTTAGCATCTTGGGGAGAAATCTGCGTCAAGCAAGAGCCAGGCTGAAACAGCAGTGTTCCCGGTAGTATAATCCCAATATACAATTTTGGGGTTATTTCGGCGTTATATGGGGCTAATGGAAAAATGGACACTATTGACTACAATGTATTATAGTTAGTAGTTTCCATTTTCTTCTCCATTATCCCCATATACCCCCAATATTACCCCAATGGGAACAAGTACTGGTAGATTCTGATATCTCGGACCATGTTTACGGAGACTTAGGTCAATACACCAAAAGTCTTGTATCAGCATGAGAGGCACAGCCACATGAGTCATCATCAAAACCAATCACTTAGATGGTAACCCTATGCCTTCAGACCCAGACAAGAATGCCTTGCAACGGTCAGCGTCCGAGGTTTGGCTCCAATTTTCACATGCAAAACTGATTGGTTAGGGGGGAATGTGGGAATATGTTCCCTTTATAATCCTTGTGGCATTGATTCAATTTATTCTCTGATCCTCTACGAACCAGTAACAAAATGATACATCGCATTTCGTAAAGCTTAGTCAGCCCAGCAGCCGCGCAGAAGCTCTGGACAGATACCCCCCAAACCCTTATCCAACTAGTTCTTAGTAGGGAATAAGGGAATCAATTCTATTCTATGGGGATTATATTCCCTTATTCCTTACGAAGAAGGACTGGGGTCCAGGCTGGATTGATAAGTCTTCAGCAATACTACGGCCACGGAGGAGTTATGGTATAGATAGCGGCATATGTAGGCTTTTATGAGGAGGATTTGCGTGCATCACGGTAAAATTCCCCAAAATTTCTCTGTTTCGAGGAAATCTGGTTTGCAACGTGGAACAAGGTTTCCCCATCCACCATGGCATGGTCAGACTCTCTTCTAAAATTATCAAGGATCAACACTCTTGTGCTCATCAGTATTTCTAATCTTGTTGCCACCATGCAAGACACTGTGAATACTCCGGCATGGGGTTGCTATTGCTATTGTTGCTTATTCATACCACTAAACTTCAGGGTAACTGTTGCGTTAGTCGTCTTTTTGAAGCAGCTTCAGTGCTTTCCGGCTTAAACTTGTGTCGCGAAGGAAGTGCGGGCAAGATATCCGCTAGAATCACTAGATCCGTTTCTTGAACCCCTCATGCCTGAAGCAAACCTTAAAAGCCAAATTTTAAGATCAGAGCGTAGCCTTTAAATCCCAAAACCTAAGCCCAAACTCATCCCTTGACCACAAACCTACAGCCAAAACCACCCTAAATCCAGACCCACTTCAGAACATTAAATCCTCTAAACCCTAAGTCCAAAAATCCCCTCTCGACCCTAAATCCTGAAACCTCCCCCTATACCCTAGATCTTAAACCCTAAATCCCAAACCCTAAACTCTAAATCTCAAACCATAAATCCTAGAAACCTTACAACCTTAAATCTAGATCTTGAATCTTAAATAATCCTAAAAACCTAACCTTAAACCCTAAATCCCAAACCCTGAAAGCCGCGCTGTTGGGTTGTGCAGGTCTCGAGCTTGGCTTCGAGGGGGAGAAGCCACCTCTGCCGGACCATGCCAGGATCCTAACAAATTATTCCTATCACTGTTACTCGTTTTAGTATAACTATTATTACGTTGACCTTTACTTTTACTCTTGCCATTACTTTACTCTTACTCTTATTCTTATTATTGCTACTACCACTGGACTGCGGCTGTTGCTGCTGCTGCTGCTGCTACTACTGCTGCTGCTGCTACTTCTTCTACTACTACTACTACTATCACTATTGCTATTACTGTTACTGTTCCTGTTGTTAGTATCACTAGCGCTAGTGCTAGTATTCGTGCTCGTACTAGAGTAGTATTCGTACTATTGCTGTGGCTATTTTTTTTACTACTACAATTTTTTCTGTTATTATTTCTTTTACCAGTGCTGTTTGCATCATTATAACTTTGCTCTGAAACTATGACTTTTGCCAGTAATATTTGTATTACGATTGCTATTTCCATTGTCTTACTATTACTGTTATTATTGCTATTACTATAACTATTACGATTACTATTACTACTATTACACCACTACCACTACTACTACTACTACTACTACTCCTACTACTATTATTTTTCATTACTATTACGATTACTATGATTTTTACTATAACTATAATTATAACTACTGCTATTACTATTACTTTTGTTTTCACTTTTGCGTTTACTACTAGGGATGTAGGGGCAGGGCTTAAGGCTGAGATTTGCGGTTTAGGATTTGGTTTCGGGTTTAAGGATTGGGGTTCCTAGTTTGCAGCTTCGCTTGCTGTGAATGGCTGGATACTCATCGTGCTCTGATGGCAATACTCAGGCACCGCATGCAAGCTACTTGTTTGCGGTGTGAAGAAAACCTGTAAAGGCTCAGGGGCGTCTAATCTTCCACACAGGGTTGGTGTGCACATGGGCTGCTGCACCTCTCGCATGCAACGGTTCCTTATAAAACGCTTTAAATCCAAAAAGCCTGCATGCATTATGTGCTGAAAGCCGTGTGTCATGTAACTGTCATGGGCCGTCACGGAGAGCCGATAGTTTTGGGACTGGTGCGCGTTGTGTTTTTCACCAGCGTTGCAGTGTCCTGTGCACTGTAGAAGTTGTTCTTGCCTACGAACCTTCTCAGCGAATTGATTGTGTTGCTCATTCACTCCTACATGGCATTTCTTTGGTCAGCCGTGGCATTTGACGCGTGGGTTTTTGCTCACCCACATTGAGACTGCAAGCAAGTAAATTCATCCGATGGAATCTTAATGTTTTGCTTGTATCATTGTTCTCAAGAGTTGGGGAGAAGAAAGAGACCTGTGGTGGGCCCGCGACAACAAAAAACGGCAGCAGGATGGGCTGCACGCGGTACGGACCCATCACTGGGCCCGTGTTTGTCCTGCGAAGAAAAAAGGAGCATGCGGTGGCGAAATGGGCGGTGCGAAGCCCGCAGCCACGGGCCCATGCGGAGCGTGCAGTGGGCTCGCGGAGGCCGAACGCAAGCTTCTAGTTGTTCACCTAAAGGCCTCACAAATCCACGTTTCCAGGATTCCGTTGGCCTGCTAAGCCAGTGGCTACACGCGCGAAAACGCGTCTTTGTTATGAATTTTGTTTTTCATTCCATCCAGTGGCTCGGAGCTGTCCCGATGGATCCGCGTTTGGATGAGGTTGGGAGCTGTTGGCTGGTGTGAGCCTGCCCGAAATCTGGATTTCAAATGAGATGTGCTCTGGGATGCCCTGGGTTGATGAAACTTGACAATGCGGATTGCCCGTGAGATTCCCAAGTTCCAAAGATGTGTTAATGGGATGGCGTGAAAGGAAATGCGGGTTTTTCTTGGTGTTACTCGAAACCTTCTGCTCCGCATAACTTGGACGGTGACGAAACTGGTGAGCTGGACACCCACCATCCCTGTGACTGTTCACACTTCTCAGAGGCCCGGGTGGGGGCTCAGGGGACCATATCAAGAAAGGCAAGGGGGTGCAAAGCGCAGAACACACAACCACAGATGATAATGGGATTTCCATGAGACTTCCTGTTTTGTCATCTGAATGTGGATATGAAGGAACTCCGATTTTTTTGGCGTGAGTAAAGGCAGGTAACCGCAAAATCCGAACTTTCTACATTTGCATACGGCTTTCTGAATCCCACGAGCAGAAGGCCGATTGGAGCAGTGGAATGATTGCGGTTACTTTCCAGCGCACCGGGTTTGATTGGAGCAGCAGTGTAACACGACGTGAATGAGCAAAAGGTTTGTTGGGGATGGTCAGGATTGGTATGATACTGAAGGGATGACGGACAAGTGGACCCATGCACGGAGGAACGGATGCAGGTAGTAAGCCTGGTATACCATTGCCGAACCTGCAGTTTCAGACGTGCCGGCAGAAGCAATAGACAATTACTTCATACAAAATGTGCACACCCAAAATGCCCAATGACCTGGCCGATGCTGTGCAGCAGCACTGGCGCTCATCAAAAGAGTTGTGTTTATCTAGCATCCGAATGCCGCCGACATGATTTCCGATCATGATAATGACTACACACGGAAGCGGGCGATTATGATGAGCAAATCTTTTCATTAATGGTGATGAGACTTGGGATGGTAGTAAAGTCGTTAGTTTGACATGCAGGGACCATACAAGTACGAAAGTAATCAACCAATCCAAACATCATTTTTTGCCTACAACTTTTGCTATAAAACGGCTATGCTTCCTCCTTCCATCTTAAACCGAAAGTTCTCATCAACCTTACGCCTGAAGCCTTAAACTTGCAGCTCAAGGCTGGGCTCAAAATGCTTCCATCCTTATCCTTCAACCCTACGCCCTAGACCCAAAAGCCTGCCAGGTTGAAGCACGGATCAGGATCTTTCCATCCTAACCCCTGAGCCCTAGACCTTGGCCCTTCAAAACTGAACCCCAAACCTTTGAGATTCAAAGCACCTTGAGCTTCAATAATGTCTTGCAATGCTGATATTCTCTGCCCGATGCAAGAATCGGACTTGATGTCCAAGCTTGCCGAATGGAAGCCCAGAAAAGGACAAAATCCAGCCGTCAATATTCTTATATGTGTATGATGTGTATGTAAATCTTTTCTGTAATCATTAAATTATTGCTATGTGTTTTCTTCGCGTTCGAATTGGAGAAGCGTTGAACGCCAACTGTAGCTTTCATTGGCGCTTTCATTCGCGTGTTTTCCACCCATGCTGCCTGGGGTCTTCGCCAGCAGTAATTGTAGGGCCCGTAATCCAGAACCCAGGAATCTTGAACGCAAAAACCGACCCCTACCATTACAACATAACCCCGTGGTCAGGTCCAGCGCAGCTTCACTTTCTGGGCTGGTGGCATGGCCGGTGTGGCCTCAGCGGCCGTGACGCACCAGTTGGACGTGGCCAAAACGTTTGGTGGCTGCAAGGGTGGCATTCGAAAAAACACTGGTTTGCAGGGTCTGTTGATGTGAAAGGGGCTACGGCATCTGGGCACGCAAGCAAAACAAGTTCAGGATACCAAATATTGCTGGATGAAGAGCGCATATTGCCCCGTGCTTCTTCAAAAATCATACAGGTTTCATCCTGCTGCCTTGCAGCACGGGTTTGTGTGGGGATTTGCGATGGGGTTTTAAGACAAGGGTCAATTACGCTGCATTGAAAACCAAAAGGCATTAGCAAGACTTCATGTGTTCGAGGAAGATAGGGAACCCCAAAGTCATTACTGAGTTGAGGACCACTCCTCAAGGCCCGGCCCATAAGCATGCATAAGGTTTTATACAGTGCTTGGTTGAGGTTTTTGGCAGTTAGGTTGAGCGGTGAAGGTTTTTCGAGCGCTACCCGGAGTGGTTGCAAGATTAGGACGCACAGGATCCCAAAAGCGCAAGAAACACCATCAATTTTGGCCTGATGAAACGATTCCTAATTCTCATAAAGCAGAAAAAGCACGTCAGGTGTTGGAGGGAAAGGGTACCTGAGCTTTAAAGACAGCTTCATCCAAACTTCCGGTGTAAAACCAGAAATCAACAAACGCATGACCTCTAAGCGCGCGGCTTTTCATCCCAGACCTGAATTATAAGCCCCAAACCCATCATCCAAGGCTTCGGCACGTGGGTAAGCCCATGCCGGACACGCTGGCTGGTTGGTTCGTCTGGCCCTTATGAAGGTTGGATTTCGTAGGGCACATCATGCACTGGGGTTGAAGTTTAGGGCTTGACATGTTTCTGGGTTCAAGACGCAAGAAACAAAGGGTGCCCTCCCCCCGAAGCTTCAGCCTAACACGCCGCTCACACGTCCGCAATTGTATCTTGTCAGACACAGAGCATACCGTCTATATAAAATCTTAAACCAGACCTAGCATTCCGTTACGGTCCCATCACGCCTTCTATCTGCTCAAGTTCTCGAAGGGTCCGCGAGCCAAGCTTTTTAAAACTGAGGTTGGAATCTGCATGGGCTCTTTTGCGCTCTTTGGCGGCAATCTTTACGCATGTTTTTTGTTTTAAAAAGTTCACGGGCGCGGTTCCTCAAGATCATGGGCCAAAAAGGGCTTCAGCATGTCGGGTGTATGCGTTGCTTACAGACTTTTAGGGCGGCGTTCCGCATGCTTTTTCGGGAATCCACAGGAGCTGCGACGGCTTTGGGATGATTGCCCCCGCCATCTGGTGGTAGAGAGCACATGGTCCGCTCGACCAACATATCATTCACGTCTCAGGTGCAAATGGACGTAAGGCCTTTCATGTCAGGGCGAACAGCACAGGAATCGTTTTTGGCTCTACGTTCCAAGCAATCAGCCTCTACGTTCCAAGCAGTCAGCCATGAACCCGGACACGTCCGTATCTTAGAGCCAGTGATGATTGTGGATCCAAATGCCCCGCAACGCGCAAGGGTGGGAACTAGGAATCGTTTAGTAGCCCGTGCCAGTCTCCTATTTGCAGCCACTAGTTTCAAAAGTTGCTCGGGTATGTTTGCACTGTTGGTTCTTAAGCCCACAAACTTGATGTTTTGAGTTCAGAAGCTCTAAAGATGATCAAAAATTAGCATTGTTGGGCTTACGCTGCTGACAGTTTGAAATTCCAATACATGTCTTGGCCGCAATCCTGAAACCTCCATTATACGGCCTTGCACATTTTCGTGTTAAGTTTAAGGTTGAAGCAGCCCATCGCAACCCCATTTTTGCTTAAAGGTTGAAAGGGCTCTGCCCTGCAACTGTAAGCCACGCACGCATGTTCGAGAATCCGGTGACCTATATCCCACACCCTAAATCCAGGTTTACTTCCTAAACCGGATGCTCCAAACGCCATTCTGACCTCCTCCTTTGCCAGGCAGGGCTTTCGGTTCGGAATCACCCTGATCCTCAACATGACGCTTCAGACGCTCGAAGGGGAACATGATCAGGGGTGGTGGGATGTACAGTAGGTGCTTACGAGATGATGGTCTTAATTGAAGGGTTGGGTGTTTTGGATGTACCGTATAGGGTGCAGAGGGCTTGTTGTATTTATGTTGAGTGTTTTTGGGTCAGGGGTGTGAGGAGAAACATCTCAATCGCAACATAAGGGGGATCGAACATGATCAGACAACGAATAATCTAGAGATTGGAGATTGTTACTCATACGACTCCTGTAGCACCTCGCGAGAACTCAAAGCTTTTGGCTTATTGTCGCAAATCTGAAGCTCGAAGGCGCTGGAGTGGAGCCTGCTGCTAAGCTTGATTCAACACAGAGAAGTTATAAGATCGAGACATATTGTGAAGATTGACTGTATGTCACGTTTTCTTGATTCATCGCCGCTTGTCATTTGGTGGAATGATTTGTTTGAGGTCACTTCCGTTGATGAATGAGACGGTTCAAAAGTTTCTGGTTCCTGGGCTAGGGCGACGCTTGTGTTTTTGAATAGGTTTTGTACACCGAGGAAGCCCCTACGTCTTGCTAAAGCGGGGTTTCCACAAGAAATTGTCCAGTTTGGAAGCCATCTTGTAGAAATTACAAGAGTGCTGCTATGTTACTTGGAGCATGTTAAAAGAACCCCGCAATTATCCATGTCGAGTGGGAAGATCAAAGACTTGCTGCCAAAACGAACATGGACATCTCCACATTTTTGATCTCAAGTATATATGTATACATAGATGTATTAGCTTCGTCGGTAAGCAGTCCCTGATCTCAAGCATCCCTAAGTTCAAGCTTTCAAACCTGGAATCCCAACCCAAAGCTTGCAAGCATCCTTCCAACAATGGTCTGACATCCTAAACCCTCTCTCTTTCCCCATCCCCCTGCCAAAAAAGCCATTGCACAAGCTGCACAAGATTTACTTAAGCTTAAGGCAAAGCCAGGGAGTTTCTTTTCTTGATTCCTTTTTGGGGAGTCTAAAAATTGGCCACGCAGACCATGTCTCCCCGGGGGCTCCACAGATACCGTACCAGTAATGTCATATTGATCACAATGTGCCCAGCCGCCGAGGTCGAAAAGAATGGCTGCTTGGGCTTAACCCTGACGTTCGTCAGTATTTCCGCAAAAAAGAAGCCGTTAAACCCACAAATCTCGACACTTAAGCACCTAAACTGCCCAAACGGTTGACTCCTAACCCTACGCCCCAACACACTAAACCCCCCAAACCCCTGAGCCCCAAACAAGCCTCGGCCCATAAACCTCCAAACCCCAACGTCCAGGAAGAGGCTGGATAAGTGGCAGAAGGCCGCAGCGGGTAAGGGAGGCTGTTGCCGCCCGACAAAAAACACGAAAGATCATGCGGTAGATAAGGGTTATATAGGGGATTACATAAGGGAGTATGATAAGGGTTATGAACGGTTTTGTTGGGAATTTAGACTATGTCTCTTTTGGCCTCTCTTAAAGAATCCTCCCATAACCTAAGCCCCCCGAGACTGCATAGGCTCCAGTGGGTTTTACATTACAAGGGCTCCGACAGTCCGTGGTAGGGAGTTTGGTTTTTGGATGGCTCCTTCAGAGGAAGCCCCATATCAACCCATATGAGAAAAAGGGTAGCAAAGGTGGCTCCTGTTCAAAGTTTCGCAGTGTTTGGGCATAGGGTCTTGGGGGTTGAAGGTTCGGAGTAATTCGTTTTGTTGAATTGTACATGGAAACATGATCAGACTTGATGCTGGAGGTCTTGAAGCAGCTTGTTACTTAAATTTGAGCAGGATCTACAGGGAGTGTTCCGGGCGTTTGTTGGGTTGGATCAAGACTTAACGCGAAAATAGCATGTCCCCTTCAGGCCCGCATGTGGCAAGGTCCGACTTATTGTGACAGGCGTCAGGCGCGGACAAGGGCTTGGGTAATCCCAGCCCCAGCATGGAGACTTTATAACAGTCACATGATAATTATAGATAGGGTCCCCAGTCTGGTGCCAAGGACAAGATACTTTTCTTAGAAAAGTCTGAACAGTCAAAACACATCAAACGTCAGACACGCCTGACAAGTGCTCGGATCTTCATGCAGCCAATTTTGGCAGAAATGCTCGCCCTCAGAGCTTGATTTTCAGACAGCCTCAAGAATTTTTTGGTGACATTGTAGGACAGCCTCGACAGGGATGACCACATTCTGAGAGGCTTGAAAGTTGAAAGCACCTAAAGCGCACATCCCAACACTAAATTCCGCTTGTCTCAGACATTCACACGGCACTATGATACAACCTGACATCATTGAAACAAGGCCAACCATGTTAGTTTTTGTTATGCAATCAAGAATCCGAAGAAGAGTGTTATACGCGTGGAATGGTAGATCCCATGCCCCAAACCGCAAACTGTACACTTCCAACCCCACAGGATATGCCCAAACTCGACACTCCAAAAGGCACAGCCTAAACAACCGTCTTGGGGCATCGCGTGCATACCTAAGACACTTCTCACAGGTTGGGGGCGTAGGCCTTTAGAATTAGGATGACACCTGCCGATAAACGGGGCATAAGCGATTTTTGGAAACTTTCGAAGCCCTTCGAAAACCGGGAAGAACTCCCGTGTGACCCTCCAAATTTTGCAGTGTCTGAAATCTGTGTCACCTCGAAGACCTAATTCGGACTCAAGGGGGGCGATTGGAAAGTAGTTGGAATAGGGATCATGAACTGGCTTTTGCCCCGTGATTGCTTGCATGGGGTTGCCACAAACATGAAAAGCCTCTGAATTCAAGCGCAACTAACCACTTACCCCAAACGCTGACTCCCTTAAGCCCTCAACCCTTAGCCTTGACATCCAAAAAAAAGTGCTAAGGTAGCAAGGTGGTATCGCCTGGCCCACAGTCCCTTCTGCGGATGCCATGACTTTATAGTCCCTCAAAAGTAGATAGAATATGGCTTTGGATATGTTATAGTAAGATCCCCATATACCCGATATTCTATCTACTCAAGGGGGACTATACATCTTATTCATTTTGCTAGCTGGATCGTCTTATGGATTGTACCAGACAGGTGCGCAGTTCAGAGGGATAGGGTTTTGGCCTTGGGTTTAGTTTTCGATCTGAGGTTTTGGGTTTCGGGGTGCAAGGGCCATCTATCATGATTCCTCGAGGAGAAGCAGGTGCCCAGGCCGAGAATCCGTGGCATTTCAAAAAAGACTCCCTGCATAAGCCGTCGAGGAGACTACAGAAAAATTTGTGTCCTCTGAATAACTGTATTCATACTCGCGGAAAGATTCCTTGGGGCGCGTGAGGGCTTGAGGTCAATTCTTGTGCTCTGGTGGGTTTAGGAGTTTTGAATGTGAGCATTTTGCCTGAGGAGAAAGGCGTGACAAGATGTAATATCCCAGCGTTTCCTTTACATCAAGCTGGGAATTTGGGCTTCAGATTGCAGAAGAGGCCGTCTGCACGTGCTTCCGCTTTGCTCTTGCGACCTGGGAGCACCATTTTTGACCATATAATCCCTATATAACCCATTATAGTAGTTTCCACTTTCTTTTCCATTATCCCAAAATAACCCCCAAATATACCCTATAATCCCTATATAACCCATTATAACCACAAGCACCGGCTCTGAGCTTTAGGAGATGCATGGCTTTCGCGCCGTTTGTGATGACACCAACGTGCCCCCGCAGTGCGCAAACACGTGTTCTCTCTTGACAAAGCTTCGGAAACTGAGGCTCAACGCTTGGCCATCACTTGAAATCTTTAGCTGAGCCCAAATGCCTAAGCCTGAAAATCTGAATCCGCAACCCTAAAACCTCAACAAGGTCCTAGTGGATTTCCTGAAGGTTCTTGTCATGACAGCTTACCGTTTTGGTAATTGATCAGCCTCATTCCCTCTACTGCCCCATGCCAAGACAATTCCAACAATCGCTCCAGACTCTGAGTTCTAGGATTTTTGCACCGACGTCTGAAAGGGAGCCCCGAGAAATGTCCGAAAGGGAACCCCGAGAAATGCTCGATACCTTCAGGTTTGCCATCAGCATGCTGGCTGCGGGCACAGGCAGGGTAATGAGCTGTCGAACTGTGTGATGTGAACTCCTTAGCGGCAATGGGGTTCACAGCAATGAACTTGAAAGCCTCTCACATCTTGCTTAGTTAGTATAAGACTGGCTTATGCAGCGCTAAACCCCAAACCTGGCATTTGAACAGGTGCCGCTGAGTTCTTCTATACCCCGACATCGCCCGAATGCGGCGTCCTGATGGTTATAGGGTCATCCCTAGCCCCACAAACCTTGCGCGGTGCTGTGATCACTCTGGCCTCGTTCAACTGAATTGCATGCCCCATCATACCTGGGCACATTCCACAAACCTCAAAAGGGGCCAGTGCCTGAAAACCCTACCCCAATCCCCCACAGGATCCGAATTACCCCAACTTGCAAAATCACGGTGTTGTCACCAAGATGCTGACAGGGTCTGTTCTCGTGAGCTTCCCAGAACCCAGCACCTTGTCTCCTGAGCACTGTACCTTTTTATGGTTCCACCTTAAACCTTCATCCCCTGACCTTAAACCTCAATCCCCAAACCCTAAACTGTCCCAACTTTGAACCCTAAACTTTCCTTCAATCCGAAATGCCAAGCCCTAAACCTTAAACCCCCTAAACCCCTACCCTCAACCCTGGGTAGCAACTGCCCAGCCAGGCGAGTTCTTGGCTAACCCTCCGGTTGTCATCAAGAACTACCAGCCGACTGCTTAAGGGAGTTGATCTTAGCGCCTAGAGTTTAGTGGCTAGGGTGTTTGGATTGGGGCGGCGGCTTCTGGAGTGGGACCTTCAGAAGTCTGAAAGATTAGTAAGGCGATTCCTCTTTTGAAGTAAATATTTTTGGTAGTCTCTTCCTTAATGTGGCGCTCAAGAAGATCATTTGGACAATTGAGGCCCCAGGTGCAGTCGGGCCGTTAGGGCTTTCGACTTCGTGGTTCACGGTAAGGGATTTCCAGATCTTCGAAGCTTAGGTTCCAAGTGTTTTGATCCTTTTCGGATTGGGTATGTCTCTAGCAAGGTCTCTGTGGCCGAGGACAGCAGAAGCTCCACCAGAAGGAGCTTTAACTGACGGGTGGGGACTCTATTGAAACGTTCTGTCCATCTTTTCTGTAAGCTTGAAAAAGCTCCCTTTTCCATGTCGAGCACATACACCCCACGCACTCAGTGTGACAGGAGTAAGCCCCTTGATAACAGGCTTCCGAGGAACCCCTGAATCCCTTTGCAGCCATCGCAAAATGTCGTCCCACCCTAGCCAGTTGTCACATCTCAGGATCGCCAACAATGTGGGGATCGCGACTGCCGCTGGCTGAGTGAGATAAGATTTTTATGTTCACTAAATGTTTCCTTCCCCCAGCAAGCGTCAAATCCAAAGCAGACACCCTTTCAACAGTTAAAGTTCCCCAAAACAACCATCTCTGTCGGGTGCATTCTGCTTGCTTAGGTGAAGCCCTTACTTCGGGGATAACCTTGGAAAACGACTGCGCTCTGTTTGTCATGGTTTCCTCCTGCATTTAGTACGTGGCACCAGTGAATGGTATCCAAGAAGACCCTTTCCTCCCAACTGTCATCGTGTCGCGTCATCGTGTCGGAACCTCATATCTTTGAAGCAAAGCGGTCGCCATCACCTTTCCAGCGTGTCAACTGTCGCATAGATGGGGCCAGTCGAGCCGGCAAGCTTCGTGACGCGTTATGCATTCCGGCTCCTGGCCCCTATTTTGCTTTTCTGATTTTCCTTCCCCTAGTGATAAATTTCTACTGTGAATACTATCAAGCCTTAGCGTTCTCTTCTGAACACAAGTTACGCATCATCAGCGGGTGGGTATTTGTTGTGCTTGCCTTTTTCCAATCCCGGTACATGTTGTCATATCATCTTGCACCGCAATTCCAGATTCGATTTTTATGTGTTAGGGGTATTCGGGGTATGGGGGATTTCAAGCCAGGCCTGTGAAGAGCTTTGGGCGATGGGTGGGCCCCCGCGTTTCTTCAGCGGCGCCCGGTGCCTAGAAAACTTCGCGGGTTTAGGGGTTGAGGTTGCGGGTTTCAGAGGGATGAGGACTTTCGGGGTTGCGGGCCTAGGGTCAAATCACAAGGCGTTCAAAGGCCTCATCGTTTCCTGTGTTTGGAGAAGAGTGATTGAATTTAAGCAGGTTCAGGCTTTTGAACTTTGCATCCCCGTACATACCTGTCAAACACGACGACATTCATCTCTCATGAGGAACTTGCTCCCTGTGATTCAGAGCTACAAAGTGTGTCGGTGTTGACACCGTGCTGCATGGTCGTTGTAGAGGGTTGTACAACATAAGTTCATAGGGCACACAAAGAGGCAGTCGGAACCATCAATCCAAGGTGTGGGAGCAAAGTTTGTCTTATCTTCTTCCATCAATGAGACCCAATACTTATTTTGCAAGCTTTTTATTTGACTTGTCTGACCAAGTGTCATGGTGCCTCCTTTCTAGAAAAAATCCGGCGCCAAGCCCCCATTCCACAGACCCTTAGCTTGCAAGTGGAGTCTCTTGAGACCAAATGAAATCAAGCCATAAAACCGCAATCCTCAAACTTGAGTTTCTTTCTTAGAATGCTGTAGTAGGCTTTGTGCTTCCATGAAATCCCAAGTCCCAAGCAAACCTGTGAAGGAGTGTTCGCCTTCTTAAAGGATTGGACTTTCTATCAGGTTCTGTTGGGAGGCTCGAACTTGCGCCCCCTCGAACTTGGGTTGTTCCGAGAGCCTGCGCCCAAAACCCGAAAGTTGACCGTAGATTCCAGGCCTCGTCCTGAGATTTTAACCCAGTCACATTGTAGTTCTTGTGGCAGAGAGAAGAAGTCCAAGGTTGGCACAAACTGGTAGCAGTACAAGTAGGAGTAGGTGTGAATTATAGGCTGTATTTTCCACACCTTGACGTACAGGCCCTGGTTCCGAAGCCTCCTGAGGTTGGCATGGGTGTGCTCCGCAAATCCTTGGCCAATGGCGTTATGGCCTCAGAGGAATTCGTGTTAGGGTCAGTTGAGGGTCTAGCGTTTTGGGAGAGAGTTTAGGCTTGTTGGCTCGAGGGTCGCGAGTTTTTGGAGTTTAAGCAGTCAGGACGTTCATGGTATGTGCGTATGTGTTCCCTCTTCAGCCTATGATGTGTATTGCTGGGACCTTACCTGGCCTGAGAGAAACCTGTGAGTCTCCCAAGACTTTGGTTCCCTTACATCCCCCAAAGATTTTCAGAAATCCCTGTCCTTGAAACAGCGCGTGACGCGGTTTAGGGTTTATAATGGTGTTCTGGTACAGTGCATCACGCCAGAAGCATTTCTTGGGTTCTTCGGATTGCCACACGTCCCCACCTGGGAAAAAAAACGCCATTTAGCCCGGTGTGAATGGCATGTTTGGGCGTCTGGGCTGAAGAAGGTAGACGGATTTTACTTTGATCCTTGGGGCTCCGAATATCCTGCGCCATAAGCGCACCAGCTCACATATTTCGTGCGGGTAGGGAAAGAAGGTATGCATGCTCATGAAGTCGTATTGGAATAGTGTAGGATCATGTTCTGAATACTGAACGCTCAGCCCAAGACTAAACTCAAAACCTTAAACTGCGAGGCTTTTTCCAAGAGAAGCGGAAGTTTCAGGCCTAACTGGATCCTGACAGCAACCCATCTCCCGTTATTCCTGGCACAGGTGGTTCTCCAGACGTTTCTTGGTGGCAGCACGAAAGTTTGAATCACCTTCCATGATTGTCCTCCATGGGAGCTTTCTTGTAACCGCAAGTAAGACATACTTCTTTGGTCAGGGTTTCAAAGCTTGGCAGCAGGGCCTTTTGAGATCGTGTTTCGGATTTTCGGGGTTGGGATGGTAATTGCCTTGATGAGTATGCGAGTTGTTTTGCCCCAAGCTGTCAGTGTTTCTATTGCAGGGCATATGGGCGTGTATGGGCTTGCTACGATGTTGGGAGTGGGACCTGCTTGACTGTGATACGGTAGCTTCCACGCACAAGGGCTCCAAAAGACAGGTTGTGAACTGTGGAATAGACTTATGAGGTCTGTGTATGGATGAAAATCTGGCAGCTGCAGATGGTGTTCGTCACCTGCATCACAAATATTCCCATGTTTTCAGGCAGTAGTGGGCACCTAGTTGCCGTCGTGCAGGGGTGCTGTGACCTTAAAACCAAATAGAATCCTAGTGTCCACGCATTTTTCATAATCTTTTCCATTGGTTCTCCATCATTTTCCTTTTCGAGGATTTCTCCGCAGCATGACTTGGGAGTTAGGCTTGGCTGAAATTGGATGAAACCTGCAAGGAAACGTCATGCACACCAGGTGGCCTCACCCAAACCCCATTTTCAGGCCGGGACAGGGGGTTCGGGTGAGGCTCATTGGAAGGGCACCACAAAGCATGTATGCCTCAAGGCCAAGTGTAGTAGTAGCTTACAAGGTTGCTTCGGCCACAAGGAATAAGGGGGCTCCCATCCATACTCCCTACTGACCAACAGAAAGTAAATCCGAAGTTTGTGCCTGTAATCTTCCCCGTATAATCACTAACATTTTAAGTTTTCCATGTTCTTTTCCCTTGCCCCGTTCCCTACTATCCCTCCGCTATTTTTTATACCCTAGTCTCCGCAACTCCTTCTATGCCCTGTATATACCTTGTACACCCCTATGATATCCTTCTGATGTTTTCCGTAGATGTAGGGGCCCCAATATAGACCCCAATGTAGTATAATCCTATTCGGACCTTAAACCCGGAATCCTATACCTAACCCTAATGTGGCAACCCCCTTTATCTATCCCAGTGTACACCTTCTGTAGCTCTAAGGATCGGCCCTACAAAATCCTTCCTCCTGGCCTCAATTCCCAGTCTCCAGACCTCTCAGGCCTGGCTTATGCATGGAGGAATGTAGTTGGAACAGGGTTTTTAGGGTGCAGGGTTAAGGGTTCAGGATTTAAGGTTGGAGAGTTTAGGTGGACAAAAGCAAGTAATGAAAAATCAAACGGAGAAGAAAAGGGAAGATGACATGGACACCTTGGTTGGCATAGGGGTTTGTAGGGATAGTAACGTAGGGGCTTCAGTGCGGTCATATTAGGGCGCAATGTTTTCTTGTCTCATCGTTATATACGGGTATAGACGGGTTAGAAGGGAAGGATGGTGGTAATGGTTTCAGGATGAAAAAGCTGACGAAGAGGGGTTTAGACGGTTGTCTGAAGGTGAACTGATTAACAAGGAAACCCGATGCCTTCTTGAGAAGCGACCGCGGTCTACAACATCTCTTCTCCAGTTTCCATGTTTGATGGTCGACAGGGTGTTGGAAGGTTCTACTTTTCCCAGAATTTCATGCAGTGACTTCTCAGGGCCAGCTAGGCCGTCCTCGTCAGAAGTGCCCTATGCACAAGAGGCTTCATAAAGTAAAGACCTTTCTATGAAACAAGATTGAAGTCAACCAGCATGCTTATCGGTAGCCGACTGCAAAAACCATCCCTAGATTTTGCTCGACCTGCATACACGTCTCTTTGGTTTGACGATATTCATTAACTCAAGACTCAATCCATAACCCCCCATAATTTCAATCCGAAAGTCCCAAACCCTTGGCCCAACAAAAGCCCTACACAATCCAACCTAAAATCCCCCAACCCTAATAGATCTGAATCCTTAAGCATTGTTTTCTTTTCTGTTTCAGGTGACCCTGAGCTTCGTGGCTGGGAGCTTGACGGGGAGCTTCGCCGAGGTGATGACAAACCCACCGGACCAGGCCGCACGAAGAACGCGTGTTGGCGTGTAGCATTGTCATGTTTTTGGCTTAGAGTTCGGAGTCCCGGGATTAGGGTTTTCGGCTTGGTGTTGGGGTTGAGGGCTTCTGGTTAAAGGTTTTGGGTTGCGTTTTCTGGGCTTGACTGTAGCCTTTTGTGGTCAAGCCTGTTCTCGGGATGCTAACAGTTACATATTTCTGTTACGACGACCATGATTAGCGCCATGCTTGATGACAACTTGTCTTGTTGGCAACCATAACAAAGGTTGTACAAGTAGCCTGGGTTTAGCTGCCAGCGGCTTTTCTGAAGACTCCCATCTTCCCCTACAGATTACACATCTGAAACCTCATACCAGAAAGTCGGCTTTGCAATTACCGCGCCTTCTGGGTTCCGTATTTGCCTCCCAAAGTGCCTCCCAAAGTGCTATTATTTGCAGTGGCTTGCTTTCCTTTTTCTGCTGTCTTCAATGATTTCTAGCACTGAAATGGTCAACTGAAGGGACTTGTATATGCTGAGGATTGCCATGTTGAGTAAGACTCGGCTGTCCGCCTGCTTGCCACGTGCATTCTGTCGTTCTGCATCTCATCTGTAACATAGCCGACTCTGCAGATATCTGACCCCCAAATCAAGACTGAAATCTCCATTTCCAACAAGTAAACAGCAAGACTAACACGTTTATCAAGATTGCAGGGGGGTCTTGCGTTCATCTTTTGATGCTAGAACCCTGCACCTTGCTTGGGGCGTCGAGGTGAAGACGATGACCCAAGCGGGCGTGCGTGGGCCTTGTAGGTTAGGGTTTAGGGTTAAGAGCCTTTGGGATGCTGTAGAGGGGCTATAACTGGGGTTGTATTGGGATAATGGAGAAGAAAATGGAAACTAGTATAATGGGTTATATAGGGTATAGAATGTGGGGTACATAGGGGGATCTTCAAGGATACAGAGAGTTGAAGGTTTGAGAGCGTGGGGTTTATAGTTCGAGGTCTACTTCCAATCATCGTTCCAAGATTACAAGAGATGTCTGAAGTTCCTTGATATTGATTCTGTTGTCCCTACAATTTTAGAGAGATCCTTCTGTTGAGGCTCGCATAGGGTTGCTTTGGGATTTTGTTGTTCGTGTAAATGGCGTGCTTCTTCGTTTCTCCCAGAAGTAGATAAGGCTTTCTTCTTGGATTTGGACGGAATCCAACTTATGCAGTTCTGAAGAAACCCGCGAAGAGACACATCTTTTGTTTGTTAGGCAGAGAATGCTATTTACTGGCCTTTGAAAGTTGCAATGAGCAGGCTGCATTGCCACGGTAAGGTTGTAACAGGAAACCTCAAAGCGAGTACCATTACATTTTCCGTCCCTTGTCGCGGTCCACGAAACTGCAGGCTACCGTGAGCCCAAAATGTCAGAGTAGTCTTAGACTTAGATTCTTCAGCTTCCTTCGTCCGGTATGTAGTTCAATTTATACCTCAGCCGTGCACCGACAAAAGGGGCCCAAAGCTCCCCAAGCTTCAGAAGGTGCAACTTACTGCCTGGACAGAGCTTTGGGCGTTCAGAGTTTAGGTTACATGACTCCGCACCCCAAGCTTGCTAAAGGTCAGCATGTTCTTCGGACCAGATGGCACAGGTAAAGAGCTTGCAAGAAAACACGGCTACAACAATTTCCCGAACCTTGGCCCAAGATCTACGAGCCCAAACTTCTAATCTATCAAGCAACCTGAAATTTGAGAACGCCTGAGCTGCAAACTGAACCCTAGAGCCTAAACCCAAAGTTTCAAACCATAGGCATGCATGCGCCGAAGAGGCCCCGAAAAAAGCGGAGCCATCCAAAGAACTAAATCCAGCTTGGGTGTGCCCAGACAGCCAACGTACTTGCTCTGGACCTGATAGTTTGGTAGCTTTGTACTTTTTGGAGGGTCTGGGTTAGAGACAATGAGGCCTTCAATGCCATGCCTTAAAAGCTCAAGGCCCCACCCTCCAATCCTTACACGTCCCCAAGTCTTCAATTGGGAGCCATCAAGCTCCGAGCCCCACATCCCTTCATGCCTAGACCAGTAAACCCTAACCCCCCCAGCTCCTTGAACCCTACACTAAATCCTCAAGCCCTAAACGCTAATACCGTCAACCCTCAATCCCTACTCCCTAAACCCGCAGCAGTGGAACGACTGCCTGAGGCCATTTTTTGAAGCCGTCAACCAAGCTGCCAGTCCCTGCCCCAGGGGATTTCAGGGTGCAAGGGGCAGAATTTACTAGAGTTTGATCTGTAGGGTGTGGGGTTTGGTGTTGGGCATTTCAGGGAGAATTTTCGAAGCCTGTGTAACTGGTAGCCAAGACTTTTATCTTGGCAACTGCCTCTTTTTTCTTATTGTTTTTGATGCTTAGGCCCAACAGTGAGGTTGATAAAGGGTTCGCTGATTGGGGTGCAGGGTTCAGGGCTTAGGCGGGGTCTACGTTCTAGAAGGTCTTCGAAGAAACAAAGTTGTGTGCTTTGGCGTTGGAAGTGGTTCCCTAGCATAACAAGTGCCCTATGCCATATTACTGTTCCTAGTATTACAATTAGTATTTTGAGAACTACATATACCAGGGCTGACCATCCCTGCACGGAATCCGCAGGCGTAGCCTGTAGAGAACCTAAGCCCCGCAGCAGGCACAAGTTGCCTCAAACACAAGATCCCGAACCTGAAGCCTCAGGCCTTAAGCTTACAAAAGCTACAGTGAAAGCCCCTAAACTCCAAGGCTAATTGAAAACCCAAACCCTCATTGCAGGACATCCCTTCCGTGGAGCAGGCTTTGCCGGTCTGCGCAAGGCGATTGCTCTGAGTGCTGGGGGTTCTGCACTTTAGAGAGGGAGCTTGGGTGGTCTTGAGGTCTTGGGCGTTGTGGTGTTCAGGTGGCACATGAACCGCTTCCCTTACAGTTTTATGATGACACGGAGGGTGTGCATATGAATTGTGCGCATGTCTGAGCATCCTCAAAAAACCCGCGCACCTTCCCTCAATCCCTAGCAAGCAAAGAAAGAACATCCAGGGCCTGATCCGTGGCATCAACTGGGGTGGACTCACTTTTTTCTTCGCTGCCGCAGCCTTGGGAATACTGTTACCAAAAGCATTATTATTTTCTATTGGGTATAATATTGGGGGTATATTGGGATATTGGAAAATACAATAAAAAACTACTATATCATAGGGTATATATTGGGGTTTTTTGCCCTCCACAGTTTCCATGTCATTTTCCATTGTCTTTTCCATTTGGTTCTCCATAGAACCTTACATTACTATATCGTCGTTCCCATTTTCTTTTCCATGATCGCAGGGAAGAGGGTGAGGGATTGGGAATTCAGGTCCATTTTTAGGAATTTGGGTTTGGGCTTATGGATTTGGGCTCTGGAGTTCATGGTTTAGGAGCTGGAAGTCTGGAACTGGGGTAGAGAAGTTGAGGTTCTGTATGAACAAAAGCCTTTTGATAAGTACCATGTGTTCCTGCTGTGCTCGTAGGCGAGGAGTAGGCGCAAAGAAGGATAGGGTAAGTCGTAGCAATTTCCAGTTCATGTGCAGTTTTACGTGAGGAAATGCAAGTGCGCACGGTCGTAACAATCCATGTTGTCCTTGCCGATTTTGCCAGAATTGAGATGTGCTTGTCTGCGCCCGAGCATGACTGCTCACAGGCTTCAATCAATCAATCAATCAATCAATCAATCAATCAATCTGTGGGCACAGTTCCTTTAGCCAGGAGGTCCGGTTGTCCTGCTACATGTATGGAATTTCCTGAACCCCATGAGTTTGCTCATTTTTCTGTTCTTGGGGTTGACAGGCATTGAGGCTTTGGCTTCACTTGAAGGTGGGCGTGGTTATACATGAGGTGAGGTATGAGTGCGGCTACAAAAGTAGCTTGATCTAGGTATGAACTGCAGCGTCCCACTGATAAGTACCTATTGTTGATGGATGAAATCCTGCACCACCCCAAGTCCCAGAATTCCCTGGAACTACAGTATGACCCTCTCAGATGGGAGCAGGAAGGAGGGCTTGGGGTTAAACGGTTTCAAGGCTTTGCAGGGTGTAAGAGGGCGAATCCCATAGCTGCCTGCCAGATGTCTCGCCTTCCTTTTTCCGTGCCAGCCTTCCCAAGGAAGTGAGAAGGCAACGTGACGATCGTCAACAGATCTTTCCTGTACCATGTTAAAGCACCTAAATTCGGAACGTGAGTTATTCTGAAGATGAACATCCTCGAACATGTTAAGCTCAGAGACTTAATCCCGACACGCTAAGATGCTAAGGCACAGGCCCTTGTATGTTGAAGCGTGCTTGCTCAAACCAAATAGATCATCCCTTTACCTTCAGCACAGCTCTGCAAACGCCATGTGATCCCAGGAGACCCCCCTCATGGACATCACCGGAGCTTATGTCCTGTACCCCCGATGCTACCTTTTCTTGCACCCTACACCACACGCCTTGCCAGATCCTGGAGTGGATCTACTGGAGGCTGACCCCTGATAAGCCCCAGCGCCAGCAGCTCGACCTGCATGAGAAACTGTGGGATGGGTGGGTTTTGAACAAATGAGGGGCCAGCATAGACTCCAACATATAGTAATCTTTGCCAAAGGGACTCTGCAAAAGGGGACCCTAGTCTTTGGAAATAGGTAGGAGGATTTTGGACAAAGGGTTAAGGTTGCGGGCTTCAGGTTGGGGAGTGGCCTGAATTGGATCATCATTATTACTATTTTGTACTACAATTATGGTTGTTACTATTATTGTTACTGTTGTTATTTTGTGGGTGTCTAGAATCTTCCGGGGGTATATACTCCTATCTTTCGTCCTGGAGTTTTGAGTTTGGGGTTCAGGCCACAAGTAAACAAGGGCCTGCAGCAGTTTTGGAGATCTTGAATGTTACTTCGCACGAAAGATGGAGAGCCCATGTCTGAAGATGTTTGAAAGCCGACCCCGAGATCAAGACTTTCCAACTTATCAACCAGCATTCAAACTAGACAACCTTCAACCCCCAGCTTGGACCGCACTAAATAAGCTATCGGCATTCAGCACTAAAGCATGT